TCGATTTTTGAACGAAAAAAACGTTATGGAAAATATAAAATTTTGGCCTATTTAAAAAAGTATCCACATTTATATTGATCGGAAAAAATAAGTATCTCGCAAAAATCCGTCTAAAAATGTATCTAATCGGATCTATTTAGATCCAAACGGCATCCCTGGTAGGGGTTCGTCCACAACAAGCACCCCTTCCTGCGGGCAGCATCTTGTTGTCTGAAGTTGTTCTACGCTGTCCCCCATTTGTTTTCCATCCTGTAGCAACTTAGCTTAAAACTATAAGGGACCGTTTAAATAGGACTTTCCTCGCTAAACAGCTGATTGGCAAAGCACGCAAAATTTGAGTGTTGTCAAGATATTGCTTCGATTTGCTTTCCTTGCTTTCTATTTAGCAAGACTCATATAAAATCATGTATTGAACTTTTCTGTCAAAGCGGAATTCTAAAGCAAAAGTCGTATGTAAACGGCCCTCAAAGTCTTGCTTCAGATTTTTTTTTTTTTTAATTTTCCATGATGTTCGACAGCTAACGACACGTAACGATTTTTTTTTTAAATATCCGTGCTCTCACTAACTATTCCTTCCAGTTCACTTGTAAATATGTACATGTGTTGTATGTACATATGCATCTATGTATGTATGTAATTTTGATTAGAGTGCAATGACCAAGGGACTAAACGCGATCATCCGCACATTTGCTGTCGATTAAATGTTTATATGTATATACATAAATACATACATATTTTTGTTTGTAGATATGCATTAACATATGCAAGTACAATTTGTTTATAATACCACGCGCTCTACATACATCCCCATTGATTGTGCACTCAGCATTCTCAGCCACTTGTTCTTTTGAAGATTTTTTCTTTTATTTTTTCCCCTACTATAGTTTATAGTTTATTCGCAATATGCCTTTAGCATAGTCGTTGTCGGGCTGATTAATCATACACTTTTTGCTGTGTGCCTGTTAATTCGATTGTGAAAAAGTGTTAAACGCCCACAATATAAATTCGTGCTTTTTTGGTTCATTCTTAACCGCGCTGTGCACATTGGTTGGTCAAATAATAATTATAGGTTTATTTTATTGTTATGCCTTACACTCCACCCATTTTTGGCAAACAAACACATTCACTAGCATGCTACTGGCAATTAACTGGTTAACCCTCCAATAAGCTCCCCACAATAAATACTCTATAAAAACGTAGTATATTTAAATTTTGTCTCTACACTACACTACTGGGAAGAGTTTAGGTTATAGGTACTATATCCATAGCTAAGCAGTATGGCAGACAAGCAAAGCAAGTAAATTAATAAAAATGTGTTGGCAATTTTCTACTTAAGCTTGCGAAAATGTTATCGCTTAACGCGAAGCGTATATATTTCACACCAGTAATATTTGTTGCCATAAAATCTAAATTTCGCATACTCGTATGATTTATATGTAGCTGTGTGTGTGCGCCTTCGTTGGCTGGTTTCTTTGACTTTAGACATAACTGCTTGCTGCTTGGCGCTGTGTGCCTAGTCGAATTTTGTGTTATAAGCAAAATGACGGGCACAAAACAAAATGTCGAATCGAATAGTTCCGCTTATGGGGTCTATTTATTGTATGGCAGCATAGCAATGATTTTCGCGACTGGCCATGCCATGCAGGCGACGCCATTTGCCTAATCCCGCCGCGCCACTTCTTCTATTAATGGAGGCGATTTCCGTCAATGGCGTATTTAAATTCAACAAAAACCGCAGCTTCACTGCTTTTGTATTGAAGGAGGAGGAGGAAATTTGTTTATGTATTTAGTTATTTCAGCACTAATTTCGGTACAAAGTAAACACTTTAAGTTAACACTTAAATAGCACTTATTTAATTTTTAATTTCTTATTTCCAAATTAACAGCTTGTTTTCAGCCATTCATTCGCATTGCACCAATAAACCTAACCTACTCGCGTATTGAATGTATTCTCTAAGCAGTGCGTTGGCGAGCATTTTTTTACAACTAGACACATTTGGAGATTTGTGCTTTTTTTCTAAACTTTGCGTATGCGAGCAAGCGTACATGTAATTCATTCTGCACGCCTGTGAAACGAATAAACAAAATGACTACTCGTCGTTGCAATACAACCGGCGAATTCGCTTGTGCTGTGCTGCGCTGCTGTCATGATTCAACAACTACAGGTTGTAGCAATCGTACAAAAACAAAATTTACCGTTGGTATCAAGGCGCATCAATTACAGGTGATAGCGATAGAAGCTATGCTTCT